GGGTGAGGTGGGAACTGGGTGGAGGGGAGCTATGGGGGGAAAAAAGAGGAACAACTGTGATAATCTGAACAATAAAGATTTATTTAAAAAAAAAAAAGACTTAAACAAATATTTTACCAAATTCAGGATATGATTGACAAAACATGAAAAAATGCTCAACATAATCATTAGGGAAATACATATTAAAACCACAGTGAGACCACTATATACTTACAAGAATCTTTTCTCTTTTTTTTAATGACAATAAGTGCTGGTGAGAATGCAACTAGAACGCTCAAGATATGGATAGCAGAGATGCAAAAAGGACCATTTGTGAGAAGAGTTTGGCAGTTTTATATAAAGTTATACACACACTATCCTTAGAGATTTATCCAGGTGAAATGAAGACTTATGTTCACACAAAAATCTTTATAATAATATTTATATCGGTTAATTAATAATTGCCCAAAACTGGAAACCCTAATACATTTAAATTGGTAGGTAGATTAAAAAAAACTGGTATCTCCATACAGTGAAATACTATTCAGCTTTAAAAAAAGGAAGGTATACATGCTATACTTGTGTGGATCTAGACATGATGATGAGTGAAAGAAATCAGTGTCAAAAGATTCCATACTGTGATTCCATTTATATGACATTCTGGAAAATGCAAAACTATAGGAATGGAAGACATCAGTAGTTGCCAGAGATTGACAATAAAAAGGGCTGAGTACACCCAACTGGTGTGGTGCAGTGGTTGAGCACTGACCTATGAACCAGGAGGTCACGGTTCAATTTCCAGTCAGGGCACATGCCTGAGTTGCTCGATCGCTGGCACAGGGAGATCAATGATTCTGTTTCATCATTGATATTTCTCTTTCTCTATCCCTTCTCTGAAATCATCTTCTTCTATAATAATAAAAGGGTAATATGCTAATTAGACCAGACGTCTTCCAGACATCATTCTGGACGTCCTTCCTGATGAAGCCGGGGCCCAAGGGAAGCCAGCCCGGGTCCCGGGTGCTGGAGGGAAGCCAATGCCAGCATCGGAGGGAAGGAAGGCCTACTCTTGCACAAATTTTTGTGCATTGGGCCTCTAGTAAATATGTTTTGTTTTTTAAAGTTTAAATTTTAAAGAGAAAGGGCTGACTACAAAGGAACAACATGAAGCCAATTTTTGAGGTGATGGAACTTTATGTGTCTTGATTGTGGTGGTGGTGGTTGTCAAAACTGGTAGGACTATACACCAAAACAATTGTTGTATGTAAATTAAATAATTTTTAAAAGAAAGAAATATAGTCCCTGTACATAAAACATCACACTTGGAATTATTTATTCACTTCACAGCTTCTGTATTAAAAGCTCCAACAAGGCAGATCCTCGGTGTGGTTTAGTTCATTGTCATTTTGTTACAATGTAGATGCGGTGCTGTAGGAACTTAAGTCTTGTTTATGTCAATTAGCCGATGATAAAATTGGCTTTGTTAAACATTTTTTTTGCTTAAAAGTGCAGACCCTGTCAACAACTTCCATGAGGACTTTCTGAACTTTATTCTCAGTACTAAGGATTTCTAGCCCAAGGACATGTAGCTACCCTTCTCTCCTTTAATTGCTCTGAGACCTCATGTGAGAGCCTAAGCTCAAGGCTTAGAGACCAGGTGAAAAGCCTGGTTCAGTCCAAATTGCTGATGCACAGAATCCTGAGCAAATAAAAGGTTTGTTGATTTAACCACCATGTTCTAGGGGTGGTTTGTTGCACAGCATGTTTTGGGGGTGGTTTGTTACATAGCATTAGGTAACTTCACAATTTATGAAGGAGGCCAATTACATTGGATTCCTCTCCCCACCATCCTATTTTTTCTATTTATTTTAGAGATGGTACAGGAAATCCTTCGGTCTCTGGAAAAGAAGGGGGGGGAAAGCATTAATAGTATTAATAGCTCATTCCCAGAGGTTTCTGTTAGGTAGTATTTACCTGCATAAAGCCCAGGTAATGTATTATGCTGGCCATATCTATAGCAATGTGTTCATCCCTTGTGCTTATGCTTTAAGAGAAATGCTCAGATATTAATGTACAGAGAAGAGCAAGATGAGAGTGAGGGTGCTGAAGGAACCAATACTTTATAGATGACAGACTGGGGGGAGAGGGACATGTGGCTAAACCCTGTGTTGTCTCAAAACCAGAAATTGAGTTAATATGTAGAAGTTGAAAGAATGTCTCATAGTCAATATTAAGGAAAAATTCTCTAATATGAGAGCTTACCAAAAGTGAACTGTGCTGCCTCAAAAATCAGTGAGGTGACTATAATTAGAAATTTTCAAACAAGCTGGATGATCACATCTGAGAGTTGGTTTCTGTACTGAGTGCAGGTGATTCCTATAATAGTAAAACACTGTACTGGATAATTTTCTAAAGTTCCTTTAGACTGAGTTTTTTTTTTTAATTATTTGGCATCACAAGATTTATAGCCATATTTTAAAACTTAAAACATTTTTAACTTGCTGGCCCCCTTTTTCTATATATATAGTCCTCACTCAAGGATATGTTTTTATTGATTTGAGAGAGAGAGAAGGAGGGGAGAGAGAGAAAGAGAGAGAAAAACATTGATTAGTTGCCTCCCATATGCGCCCCCAAATGGGTATCAAAACCTCAACCTCTTGGTGTACGGATTGACGCTCCAACCAACTGAGCCACCCAGCCAGGGCAAACTTGCTGCCCTTTTAATTAGGGAGATTTTTCAGATATGCCCGGATACAGGTAGCCAAAGTTGTTTTTCCTCATAATCTGTAGGAACAGGGACTTGTTTTGATAACTGAATCCAAACAAGCTGGGAATATTTTTATCTCTCCTGCTTACAGCTTCTCAAGTGACCATGTATCAAGGATTGTTTCAAAGGATGGAGAGAAACTCACAACCAGCCTATCCTTCTCTGCCAAAAAAAAAGTACAAACGGCCAGTTTCATGGTCATGTGAACTGTACACTTTTATAGGGTCCCATGCTTGGTTTAACAAATTCTGTAGTTAATTCTGGCTACTATCTATAGTCTTTATCTGTAGTTTCTTACCATTCACCCACTCCTTGTTATCTTGCACTCTGGCTTCTCCCTTTATGGTTGAATAAGACCTCTCTCAGGTCATCTACTGCCCTATGGCCAATTCCCAAGGTCTTTCTTTCATCCTCACCCATTCACCCATTTTAATGTGCCTAAAGCATTTGACACTGTTGACAGACCCTACCTTTAAGTTTCTTCTTTGGTTTACATGACTATATCATGGTTTTCTTCTTATCTCTGAATTTGATAAAGTCAAGTAGAATAATGCAGTGAAGTTAATAGTTATAGCACATGCCTCAGGGTTTTTCTGTAGAATGGGCCCATCCTCTATCCACCAGGATATAGTGGTACTCCCTTATTTTCACAGGGTCAGTGACAAAACAATTTCTAAATGGGTAAATTTAAAAGCTAGTAGATATTACAAACCATATACAGGGTTTGGGGTTTTTTTTGGCTTTGCTTTCCTTAATATAGAGATTAAAAGAAAAACATACCAAGGTTTTCATCAGTTGAATATATAAATGGTCGTAAATTTCCTCGAGTCTCCTTCATGAAATAATCAATGACGCTAAAAAGGTTTGGAAGTGTTACCTGTATAAAGAGAGAGAGAAAGCTCAGTGTCTCCTGTGTAAAGATGAGGAAGAGAAAGCTCAACTAAAATTTAATGGAGATTAACTGTGTATTCTCTGGCCTCCAGAAAATTGTATCCATACCTCACTTCAATGGCTTACTGAATGGCTTTGCCTACCCATGCATTTTATTTCTCCTTTATAATCATAGCTGATTTCCTGTTGAAGTATTACCCCTTTCCTATTGGATACGTTTTGGTGGACAATCATTAGGTACTCTTTGCTCTTCCCCAGTTTTTGCATGAGAGTGTGGCTCAAGTTATGTCAGAAATCCTCCCTTCCTGAAATTTGAAGTAGAGTAGAGGAACAAGGAAGGAGAGTAGATCTCTCATCAGATGGTGTTTATTATAGGTAACTGCTTCCTAGTCCCTGGTTTTCTAGCCTTCCAGTCATCCTGTGTTTTTCCTATGTTCATACATTTAATTTTGCTTAATTTGACTATAGTTGGTTTCTTCTGCTGGAAACAAACAGAAATTAGCATTTTAGTATCATTGTAACAGGATAATTTGCTTGGCTAGGAATAACTGAAATGCATTGCTTTTACGTGTATTTTTGTACAAGTAAAATCAGATTAAAGCTGAATATCCCTAGTAACCTTGAAGAGGAAAAACATTTTTCAGAAAGTGACAAATCTGGTTGAGGGGTAGGGTTTGGGGAGGTGGAAGGTGAAAGAATAATTCAGACTATTAGCTTTCCTTATACTGAGAACTGTTTGGGCTAATGACAGATAAATGTGCCCCGTTCACCACTTGCAGAGACATTCTTTTTCCTGACCATTGCTTCCATTCACTTGGCTATTTGGGTTACCCTTCAGCAATATAGTTCTCTGCTTCCTTCATTGGAATTTTTGAAAACTCCCAATCAGGCATGGACGTGAGAATGGAGAAGCTATGGGAAGCATTTATAGCAAAAGTTTAAGTGGGGTATATGAATCAGCAGCTGCCTACTTATGGCAAAGGTCACTACTGCACTCTAAGGGTTATGGTCAAAACATAAATTCAACCATACTGACCCTTCTCTGTTTGATCAACATAATGGGCATGGAGGGGCAGGAGAGCGAGAAGCTCAATTTTAGAAAATATATGGTCAATATCTTCAAGAACCATAGGTTCCATTTAAGTGATAGTACTTTCCTGGTCCAGTCTTTCCATCAACTCAGCTAAGACCACATGCCTATCTTCCTTTTTTTTCAGCATCCCGAACCATAGGTCATGTTACTATAGTCTCATTGATTGAGACCAGTGTAGCAGTAAATACCCGTTTTTCCACCTGTACAACAGGCATTACCTCAAGGTAGTGATGAAGAATAAATTAAATGGCATATGTAAAGTACTAGCTCTGCCTAACAGAATATGTAGTGGTTATGATATTACTAGAGGCCCGGTGCACCCCGATTAGGGAAGGCTGGCCAGGGGGAGGGGACATGGGAGGTTGGCCAGCCGACCCTGCCCCCATCAGGCCAGTTGGCCAGCCGCAGTGCGTGTCATAGTGACCAGTCATTCCAGTCATTCTGGTCCAGTCGTTCTGGTTGCTTGGCTTTTATATATATAGATATCATTAGCCCCATGATAAGTTTATTGGGGTAGAAGAGGGGTTACAGACAAAGACAAACCCCTTTTTTAAAAAAATTATATTGGTTTTTTGAGAGAGAGGAAGGGAGACAGAGAGAGAGAGAGAAAGGAATATTGATTTGAGAGGGAAACATCAATCAGCTGCCTCCTGTACTCGCCCTACCAGATCTGGTGATATGCCCAGATCAGGAACCATACCAGTAACCTTCTGGTGCATTGGATGACATCCAACCAACTGAGCCCTACCAACCAGGGAAAAACCCTTTCTTTACTCTTATGTTGCTATTAAGAGGAAGATTTCTGAAATTCTGCATGGTGGGTATTAGAGGACTAAGCATTCACAGCTTTTTTTTCCCATTAGAAATAAGAACATTGAAGAAAGCCCAGAAATACCCCCATGCCTATATGGTGAATTAATGAAAGGAGGCAAGAATATCCAATGGGGTAAAGCTAGTCTATTCAATAAATGGAGTTGAGAAAATGGGCAGATACATGAATGAAACTAGATGACCTTCTTATACCATATGCAAAAATAAACTCAAAATGGGTTAGAGAGTTAAATATAAGACCTGAAACCATAAAACCCCTAGAAGAAAACATAGGCAGTAAACTATCTGACATTGCTCTTAGTAATATATTTTATTTTTATATAGCTCCTTGGGCAAGGGAAACAAAAATAAATAAACAAATGAGACTACATCAAACAAAAATGTTTTTGCAGAACAAAGGAAACCATCAACAAAACAAAAAGACGGCCTACCTGTTGGGAGAAAATATTTGCCAATAATACATTCAATGAGGAGTTAATATCCAAAATTTATAAAGAACTCATACAACACCACCAAAAAAAAAACAACCCAATTAAAAATGGACAGAGGACCTGAATAGACACTTCTCCCAAGAGGACATAAAGATAGCCAATAGACATATGAAATGATGATCAATGTCAGTAATCATCACAGAAATGCAATTAAAACTACAAGATATCAATCACTTCACACCTGTCAGAATGGCTATCATCAATAAACCAACAACTGTTGGTGAGGATGTGGAAAAGGGGGAACCCTCATGCACTGTTGGTGGGAATGCAGAGTGCAGCCACTGACTATAGGAACACAGTATGAAAGTTCCTCAAAAAATTAAATAGAACTACCTTATGACCCAGCAATTTCACTTATGGGTTTTTATCTGAAGAAATCCAAAAACTAATTTAAAAAGATATTTGCATCCCTATGTTCATTCCAGCAGTATTTCAAATAATCAAGATAAGGAAGCACCCCAAATGCCCATCAATAGATGATTGGATAAAGATGTAGTACATATATACAATGCAATATTTCTCAATCATAAAAAAGAAATCTTACCATTTGAGAGAGCATGGATGGACCTAGAAGGTATTATGCTAAGTGAAATAAGTCAGACAGAAAGACAACATAGTGATTTCACTTACATGTGAAATCTAAAGAACAAAATAAAGAAACAAACAAAATAGAAACAGGCTCATAGATACAGAGAACAAACTGATTGTTGCTAGATGAAGGGGGAGGTAGATTGTGGGGTTGGGTGAAAAGGGTGAAAGGGATTAGAAAGTACAAATTGACCTGGCCAGTGTGGCTCAGTGGTTGAGCATCAACCCATGAATCAGAAAGTCGAGGTCCAATTCTTGGTCAAGCCACATGCCTGGGTTGTGGGATTGATCCCCAGTAGGGGGTGTTTAGGAGACGGCCAAGCAATTATTATTCCCCATCATTGATGTTTCTGTATCTCCCTTCCTCTCTCTGAAATCAATTTAAAAAAACAAAAACACTAATTTTTTAAAAATTATTAAAAAGTACAAATTGGTAGCTATAAAATAGGCATGGGGATGTGAAGTACAGCATAGGGAATATAGTCAACAATGTTGTAATAACTGTGTATGGTGCCAGGAGGGTACTAGACATATCAGGGGTAGCACTTCGTAAAGTATATAAATATCTAACGACTATGCTGTTCACCTAAAACTAATATAAAATAATATTGAATGTCAACTGTAATGAAAAAATAAAATTTAAAAATATAAGCACATTGAAATACTTAATTTGGAGGATGTAAAACAACTGATAAAATATATTTCTCTCCCGGAAACAACTATAGTGATAAAGATTTACAGAAAAAAAAAATGGAAAGAATTTTTAACAGATTATCTTCTATTCTGCCTCATCCACCTGCTCTTGCATCTCATTTCTCACCCTGCCACCTCAGGGCTCCTTGACATGGCTGTTTTTTTCCAGCACTGTTCCTAGCCATGGAGTCTACTTTCCACCTTTGTTTGTGTTCTATAAGGTAAGTGTGGAAGGAAGCAGAAGAAAATTCATGAACAACAAGGAAATAGCTACTTACAGGTTTTTCCAGTTCGATAGTGTAGCTTTTTCCTACCCTCATCACTTTGTAGTGCTTGATTCTTGGCATGCTAAAATGGAAAAAAAAAAAAGGTTAATATCCATTTGAGTATACTGTTGGGTCAAATCAAACTAAAGTGAGTATAAAATATCACCTGTATAGTAAAACCTATGTTTCAATGACTAGGGGGAAAAATGGTGGGGTTTTTTGTTTTTCTATTTACCTGGTTCTTTATATATATTCTTTTTGGGGAGTTATACACTAGGGATATAAGAAACCTGGGCCATTGATTGGTTGGATGAGAAAAAATAATAGGGATAAATACAGGAATCAAGAACTGACAATCTTTTAGGCAGAATTATACTTTTAAATGCCTAAAACTTACAAAGTAGACATCATTATAAAATCCTAGGTGGGCATATACAAATCAAATACTTATTCTCTATATTAACAGAGAAATAGAAAGAACTACTGAAAGCAAATTACCTCTTACTCCAGTCAGAAAGCTCTCAATGACTATTCTTCCTGCTTGCTTATATACCATCTTGGACTTCGAGGTATGGAAAATGCTAGGTGTTAGGTACTATATGAACACTTAAGTGTGAGAATGCAAGTACAACAGATGAATCTTAATGTCTTCCTCTTCTGTAGTCACATAGCACTCTAATACTAAATTCGTGCTATTTTATTGACTATGAATTGCTTAAGAACAAGAAGCACATTCTAGTCATTTTTGTATTCCAGCTTTAGGCACACTGTATTTGTGAAACTGAATTTTAAAACTGTAGGAGCCCACCTCATAGTGCTATTTGCTAGAACTAATTTATACTGAGAGCATAAGTCAATGTCTATGCCAGTTAGTTTTGAACAACAGTATGTTTGCCTTGAATTCCCTTGATTCATATGGAAACAGTGTCAGGACCAAGACTTTAGCTAATGTTGAAAAGTAAACAGCATTTATTGCACTGCCATTTGCCTAAAAGACAAAGTAATCCAACACCTGTCCGATTTACTGAAGCTGCTAAAGCAAAAGTGTCTACCAGGTTAAGTTTTATCTGCAGAGCCTCCTACCTTTCTCATCCCTCATCCTCCATTTCCAGGTCACATTTCTCTAGGACTGAACTACACTTCTGTTCAAGGAACTCACCCTTTCCTCTTCTATTGTTACATTCAAATCTTCTCTCAATTGCATATCATGTTGGGAAACAGCTAGTAACTTTATTCCAATGACTTATTCTAGAGCTTTACTTTCAAAAAATGGGATAAAACTTAACCAACCCTCTCCCCTCCTAAAAAGGGGGGAAAGTAAAAAAAAAAAAGGTATTTCTTAATGCTGAACCTTCAGGAATCAGTTACAGACTGAAGAAAACACTTGTGGACAGAGGTCTTACAAGTACCCTCTGTTGGGATGGTTGGCTCTGGCTTTATCTTTATCCCTACCATGAAAATCAACCTTATAATCATACAGTTACATATGAAAACTCGCACCAAATCCATTTAGAATTCCTGTATTCCTATGTAATAAGTGATTATCATAACTTGGAAGATTGATAGAAAGCTTGAAGGGCATGGCCTTTATAACTAGGAAGATCTAGGTTCACACTCTGGTGTTTTGTAAGCTCTCTCAGCCTTCATTTCTTCATCTATAAAATGGAGATGGTAATGCCTTCGCACTTAAGGCTGTGTTATGAATTATGTTTGAAAAGTCCTTTAAGTTAGTAATTTTTTTAAGTCTCAGCCTCTTCATTTGTTAAACATGGAAAATACTGTCTGTCTCTGTCTTTATTGTGCCTGAAGAAAATGTTTGTCAAGCACTCAACATGCACCCATAAATGGTACCCTATAAGTGGGGACAGTGATTGTGTTAGTAATAACCATCATATCATCATTATCGTCATTCATGGCAAAGCTGTGAAAGGAAAAGTAGCAAAGGTTAACAGGGTCTCTTGGAACTTCTGACTAACAGGACTAAGTTCTAAAGCAGAATGGTAGAAAAAAATTCCATTCAAGTCACTTAGGCTTTGACTCTTATTTTAGACCTTTGTTTTTCTTTCACATTTTGTTTTTCCAAAGGAATAAAGAAAGAGGGACAAAATGAGATTGATAAATTTGCTATATTGAAGTTTCATGTGTATGACCTCAAAAAGGAAGTAACCTGTCTTTAAAAAAGAATGTGTGGCCTTACATATGGTTATAAATACCTGTTCTCAGCTTTTGACCTCAATTTTTGCAAAGGAATGAATTTTGGGTAACTATTTGCTACTGCTTTCTTGGTCAATGGCTTTCCAAAGTATATACTAGTATACTGCTAGCTTGCCACATAGTCATAATTATTTTTAGAAAACCAAACCAAACCATGAAGTTTGTTTTACGAATAGCTTTATGTCTTATGAATTCACACACCATTGAGCTGGATAAAGGTGGATGATATTTTGCATCAAGAGAGGAGTCACCTGATAATTTGACATTGAATGACTTTTGCTTCTTCCTGTGAACTACAGTCTTCCCTCCCACAGCTGATATGTGAACAGATGGAGATAATTTTTACTTTCATGATATTTTGTAAACCAACTTGTCCTTTTTAGCTAGTGTTTAACCAGACACACTCATCTAAACTTCATAGCTGACCATTTCTCCTACAACCTGTAAGAGAATGAATTAGTTTTGTGGGTAACACAGGTGCTTCCTAATAGTCTAGATTTCTGCCAAGTCTTCACATGAAGCTCTGTAGTCAATTATACTACTCTCCACAATAGCTATCCTTTAAAATTAAGTAATCTGTTAAATAGAAGATATTAAATCTGGGCATTCTAAAATATTAGAGAAGACATATAACTATACATATGACTCATATATATATATTATTTTCTTGGTTGGATTGGTTGGATTTCCTTGTGACTCATAAGGAAAATTTGTACAGTAACAGCTAAAACATGTTAACCATTTTCATGTTTTTCATGTTATAAACTATGTCTCAAAGTCTAAATAAGCTTATACTGACTACAGTATTAGAATGCTCTAGTTTAAGCATTCTAGTTTACTCCTTGCTTTCTAAATATGAACTTTTTGGGTGAGGGGGTGATTAGTTTTATGAAATATTATATTCTTATGACCATCAGCTGTACAAAAGTATGAACTATATGAATTCAAACTGGAAGTGAGTATAGTAAAATTAGAAATAGATAACTTTGAAATGAACTCCTTTGCTTGACTCTTACGAGTTTAAATATAATACAAAAATACATATAAGCTGTGACATTAAGTTCATATCCTAAATATAGAAACTACTTGCATTTCGTCCAAAACCACATTTACAGCAGAAAAAACTTTATTTTTCATAGCTCACTTGTACAGAAAGTACAGTGCAAAAGTTGGGCTAATTTAGACTACCTTACAAGATATCCAGCTACTATACACAGTCTTTAAAGAGCTGTTAGGTCTCAGGATTGTTTGATGCAGAATAGTAACATAGGGTTCACATGCAAATCAATCAAACAGCCAATTCAACAAGAAAGTAATATGAAGGAAACAGTTCATCATTCTCTTGTGTGATCTAGTTTACTTCCAAGCAGTTAGATGGTTTCTTTTTTTAAAATCTGCAAGATAAATTTTAATTTAGTTTTTTATATTTCATATTTTTAAAGTGGAAGTAAACAGTTAAAAACATTCTATATTTTATGTGATACTCAATTTCCTAAACCCTGGAAAAGGATAATCTCCTTAATCAGGATATACTAAACAGAAAATCCAGGAGTTCTAAGTTCACTGATATTTGATGGCCATTCATAATTTTTATTTATGTTGGATTTGCATCAAGATAGTCAATTAAATGATAAATTATAACTGAACTATATTCATTGAAACTCATTCATTCCGAATGTTAGTCTATAATTTTAAAAAATAATAAACCCAAAAGATTAAATTGACAGATATTTATTGTGGAAAACACACATGTGAATGCGTGCGTGCACATGCGCACATGACACACATTTTCTTTTACTTCACACACAGAACCAGATTTACCATCTAACATTCTTACCACTATTCAATGTACATGGCTAGTGTATACAGAGTAATTGGCAAGTGAATAAAGCTGATTAGACCATGGCTCATACTAGCCATGCAGCCATAATGTCATAAGTTTAATTTTTTCCTGTGATTGTTTTCTTTTTACTGCCTTTCTTCATTGTCAATGTCTTCATATTTAATCTCTTTAGAATTATTGATATTTGTGGTAGATAGATTCATTGATATATTCTAGCTTTAAAATGTAATAGAATAATACCCTCAGGAAAAAATAACAAATTCAAAAAACAAAGTTCTGTTTATGCTTTTTTGTGAATAAGAATCACTTATTGAATATTTTCATATGGGACAAAAACCTTTATATGTAGATTATATTATCAGTAGTGAAAATGTTAACTAAACTAGAGATCCTATTGCAATACAAATTTTCATAGACTGAGAGCTGAAGTGAACCTTAAAAGATCCAACCACCCTAAGTACACAGAAAAATCAACTTGTGCATGTAAATGTTACTTACTTTATCAAGTATAAACCGTTTCACCAGAAAGAAATTATTAGCCTTGACAAGAGGCTCCTATGGTCCTTTTCATAGTCACTTCTTTACTCATCACACTCCAGTGGCCTCTCATGACATTCAGAGTAAAACCCTTGTCCCCACGATGACCTGTAGGGTTTGCACATCAGTCCCTACCCCACCTCTGGAATCTCATCTCCTACCACTTTCTCCTAGCTCACTCCACTGCAATCACCAAGGCCTTTTCTGTTTCTCGAACAAAATAAGCCTCTCCTGCCTCTGGACATATGCACCTGCTGCCTGGAATGCTCTTGTCCCAGACACGGAGGTTTGTTCCCTCACTTCCTTCCGGTCTCTGTTTAAATGCCAGTTAATGAAGTAGGTCTCTCCTGACCACTCTACATTAAAACAACAGCAACTAGAAAAATGTTTTTAAAATATGAAACACTACGCAAGGGCCATGCTAATCTTTAATCTTCTCTGTGTCATGCCAATTTTAGTGTATGTCTACCAAAATGTGCACATAATTATCTCTTTACCTCTGCGATTCCCATTTCCCTCATCCTGCTTTATTTTACTTTCATAGGCCTTATTACCTTATGTATGACATTTTTGGTTACGTATTTATTTATAGTCTGTGTCTCCTTCAAGTATGTAAACTTCCTTAAACTAGGGATGCTGTTTTGCTCACTGCTGCATCCTCAGTTCCTAGAATATTATTTGGTCCATAGTAATTGCTCAATAAATACTTGTTGAAATGAATGCATGCATGAATGAATGAATGAACTATATCCAGGACCAAAGTAATTTGCTCATTCTTCCCTACTGCTAATATTAGCCTTGGCTCAGTCTTTAGTATTGCTTATACGTGTTTCATCCCCTCCCTATTTTTGTGGTTATATTCTTAGCCCCAACAAAACACATAGAGGATGCTGATCTGAACTTTATGACTCTGCTTTCTAAAGTGATATCATGCTTTTAATAATTCCATATGTTTTTTTAATTAAACATACTCTATCTCCTGCCGGATAGTGATGGAGAAGTTTCTGCTGTCACTACCAGGCCTCAGGATCATATTTCCCAGTGAAGGATTCTTCTCAAGCATCTCAGTTGCTTCTTTCCGAGACACGGCATAGAAGCATCTACAGAGGTGAGATAAAAACAGACTTTTTAAAATGGATAAAGATCATGACTTGAAAAAAAATGCTTCTGAAGTAATTTAGAACTGCATTTATTAACTTTTCTTAAAATCCCCAGCTTTATTATTATAACTGCATTGATATGATTATAATTATTATTACAAGCCTGTTCCACTATAAATATGTGTATGCTTATAGCCCTCCTCCCCTCATCCCTCCAAAACCTCGTTCTCTCACCAAAGGGGACCTGAAAAATTATCTACTGATCAGTATATTATCACTATTACCATTTGAAAACCTAAGATAAAAATTAACAATGTATCTCCATTCTCAGTTTATAATAATAGGCTATTGGATTGGATAAATAATATTTGTTAGTGGTTTCTTTCCAGAGATACAAAACATCTCTATACATGCTTCTGTAGTTCGCCTTTCTTTTAAAATAACTCATATTTAAGAGTACATCTTAACTCACTCCATTTGGTAAAATATGGATTTCTTATAACATTGGTGGTGTTTTTATGTGTAAAATCTTTAAGAAAGCACCTCTCATTTTTATAGTATACTAGTATATTGTAATCAATGAAATATGTAGTCACAGAAAAATATCTGGAAGGATATGCAATATACCAAAATGTTAACAGCAAATATCTTTGAATTGGGGAGCAATGATTTTAGTCTTTTTATTTATCTGTAAAATCATAGATTGTTTTATTGAGCATAAAAGAAAAGGAAGCACTCTGTGTCTTTTAACCTATCAGTCTATGAGTCATTGGTTTCAGCTAAACGTTATAGTGGGCAGGTTTCAGTGATTATAGTACAAAAGAACACGAATCAGAACTTGATGTCAAAGGTGGTACCAGGGCAAATTTCACTGGTGAGAACTTGACCAAGATTCCAGAGGAAGAGGTTCACAATCTTAGTCACACTCTTTAACAATATAGTGGTAAACAATAGAGATGGGATGTTGCTAAATTCAGCGTGTTCTATGTCTCTTCATTTTTCCAACAACACCTTACCCACTTTACACAGGGCCTTCAAAGTACAGCGCAATGACTACCCAATGATTGAACAGTTGCATAGAATATTCACTTATTTTTTAATTGATTTTATTAGAGTTACATTGGTTCACAAAACCATTTAGGTTTCAAGTGTACAACTCAATGAAACATCATCTGCATGTTGCATTGTGTGCCCATCGCCCAAAACAAAGTCTCTTTCCATCCCAATTTATCCCCCTTTGCCTACCTCCACCTACCTCCCCCCTTCCCCTCTGTCTATCACCACACTGTTG